GATATCATTAAAGTATTATGTTGCCTTTGTCCTCAGCTGTCCCATCTAGATTTCAAGAAGTCCATGACAACTCCAAGCCCATCATATCTCCAGGCTTAACTGGAGGCAGAAAATGTAAGCTTCTCCTCCATTATATTTAGCTTTCATTAGCAAAGCATCTTTTCACTGTATTCCATCATCTACCATTTCTTTGTCTCTCTTTTTTTTTTTTGGCATGATTTCATTAGTCTTGCTCTTCCATAAAAAATACAGCTACCTTTACATGGAACTAAAAGTATACTTTGGTTTCCCAGAGCATTACCAACCTTCCACTGCCCATTTTGAAAAACACTGGCACTGAGGTATCACCATTCACTGCTTTAGTTTGCATTTGTATTCATTACATGCACAGTGAAAATATGTGCATCTATAATCAAATGACTATGACATATTCAAAGGCAATCATGCCTGAGAAGCAACTGTGCATTCAAATGCATAGTATTTTATTATACATTATTTTTATTTGTCCATTTTGCTATAGTTATGACAGTAAATATACACATACGTATGAGGTAAATTGTGTTTTAAAATTCAGATAATAAAGGAGCATCATGAAATACTTGCTATAGAAAGAGATTAAGGATCACTGCAACAACTCTTCATTTGGTTTAGCATTTTGAGAATGCATTGTATTTTTTTTTATCAGTACCAGGAATTGAACTCACAACCATATGCTTCCAAGGCAGGCACTTATGCCACTGAACTAAATCCCCAGCCCTTGTTTTTTTTTTTTTTTTTTTTTTTTTTTTTTTTTTTTTTTACAAACATGCTTCTGTTCAGAATGCCCTTTCCTGCTTGACTGACTGATAAGTTACTTCTTGTTCATTTGCCCAAAAGGACTGAACTCTATCTTGACTGTGCTGTGTTTTCTGACATAGCTATGTGGGTTCTTACATTTTAAGACTTGTCATATGAGAGCAAAATAATGTGTGAATGCCATCTCTCTATGGTTTCCCTATGGCTTGCTGTCACAAAAACATAGTGGCTGCAAACAGCACCAAACTCATTGTCTTATAGTTGGGTAGCTCACAAGTCTGAACTGGACTAAAATTAAGATGTTCTCAGACTCAATTCCTAAATTTCTAAGAGAGAACTCATTTTCTTCCCCTGCATTGTCCAGCTTCAATATTCCTTGGGCAGTGGCTATTCCACTATCTCTAAACCCAACCAGCTTGGTATGTACTTTGTACTTTTTCCATAGTCATTATTTCCTCTTTTTCTCTACTCTCTCTTTTTTCAATTCAGGACTCTTGTGATTAAAATGGACCCACCTTGATAATTTGGGCTACTTATACTTTCTCTTTTTGTTGGTGGGAGGTTGACAGGAATCAAACTCAGGACCTTGTTCTTGCCAGGCTAGTGCTGCACTACTGAGCTGAAGTTCCAGCCCTTACTTTTAATTTCATCTTCAGGCTTCACTTCCATTGTCATGGGACTAGTACACTCCGGGGTTCCAGCAATTAAAACGTGGGATCTTTGGAGGTCATTATTTTGCCTACCACAATCTACCTCTCTCTATGGGGACTTCTTCATAGATGAGATTATTTTAATTAATCTGTGCACTCCCAGCATGTGTCACAGTCCCTGACAGGTAGGAGATGACACACAATATATCTAAATAGGCAAATAAATGCATGAAGATTGCAATAAATGTTATGGCATGAAAGTAGAGATTTCAAGAGTTATCCTGGATTACAATAGGTTGATGAGGGTCTTGAGAGATGAGTAGTATCTGATGAAATACACATAGTAAAATGTTAATTAAATAATTTTAGTGCTGAGAATATGGGTGTTCATAGTTAAATATTTTCAAGTTTTCTATAGGCTTGAAACTTTTAATAATAAAGTTTTTGGGGAAATATCAATCCCAATCTCAGCATACCAATCCAACTCCGTAACTAGTTGTCGAAGGGATAAATTAGTGGAACCCTGCTTGCCAAGTAGCCATGAGATTAACATGGAGAAGACAATTGTACTTCAGTTATTTCCTATGTGCTATGGGCCAGGCCCTGGGCTACTAGGTATCCAAGGTAAATCAGCGGACAAATACTCAGCACAGGCTATCCCTCTAGTTGTTAGGAAGATCTATGGACACACAGCTCTCCTCTATTCCATTCTCCAAGGAAACAAAGCTCTATCTGATTCAGGATGCACAATGGAGCCAGAAGATGGTGTACACTCATACTTGAGTCCACTCATGGCTCCCCCTCCTGCCTGTCAGATTAAAGATAAAGTCTTTATCTTTGCCTGAAGAAAGCCACATTTGACAGGAAGAGTGAGAATGGGTGCTTTAGACAAGTTCTGCTCTTTATATAGGGTGTTTTAATCATGGTAAAATGCCTAATAATTACGAGTGAAAGGAGGAAAAGTTTCTTTTAGCTCATGGTTTCAGTGCACAGTTACTGGGTCCAAGGCAGAAACGTAGGTTGGACGGCCTGGGAGAAAGAAGCTGCTCAACCTGGGGCAGCAAGAAGCAGAGAAAGAAGAAGGAGCTCAAGGAGCTTGAGTTTCAAATAGGGAAACAATATCCAAGGGCCAGGGATTTAGCCCAGTGGCATAAGTGCCTGCCTGGCAAGTACGAGTTTGTGAGTTTGATCTCAGGTACCTAAAACAAAACAAAACAAAACAAAACAATATTCATACTCAAAGTGACTGATCCTGCTACTGCTTCCTGGATGTGGAATAGTACTGTTTAACACTCATGTCTTTTCTACCAGGTTTTGAGCCATTAAGTTCAGAAAGTATTCCTTAATCCTCTATTTTCACTGTCTAGTATAGTGGCATATTGTTGATTAATGAATCTTTTTGAATGAATTAAAATAACTAGCAGGAATTTCAAGGAAGTAATGTAGGTTGAAGAAGGTCATAAGAGTAAGGACATTAATCTTATCTAATAGGATTAATGCTTTTTAAGTACAAACATCTTTGAGATCCCTGTTCCTGCCATGCAAGAAAGGATACATGAAGCTATATGCAGGAGAAGGCCATCTGCCAGCAAAGAAGACAGGGTTTCCCAAAACCCAGCTGGAACTTTGGTTTTCCACTGATAACTTTCAGAATTGCAAGAAAGTAATTTCTTTTGTTGTTACTGAAGCTATGCAGTCTACGGTAGTTTTGTTAGAGTAGCCTGAGTTGAGTAATGAGGAGTCCTATCAAAGCACAGAAAATGCGTCATGACTTAAAGAGACAAGAACATCATTTCCAGCTGAGGAAAGGACAACCGTGTCAATGAAGAACCAGCACTGGAGACTCCAGTACCAGCAGAGGGGACCTCTCAAAATACACAAGAGTCAGGTTCTAGAAGAAGGAACATGTGGCAGAGACTGAAGGAAGAGAAGTTGAGGAGCTGTGTCTGAAAATGGGGCTTGAAAATTTATATACTGTGGGGGTAATGCAGTGTCCTCTAGGGTCTTTGAGTGCATTTTCATAGGCTCCAGAGAGCTCCCAGAGTTCAGGCAGCAGGCAGATATGGGTGGAGAGAAGCTTTAACAGAAGCGCTTCTGTCTGTCTCAGAGTGACTGGCTTCAGGCCTGGCCTTGCTATCACCAGTTCCAGCATGGTAATTCTGCTGCGTCCCACAGACCAGCCCCAAAGCACAGGTGGCACTCATAGTCATAGAGCTTCATTCCTTCATCACAGTCAGTGCAAGGTTACCCTGGGCCAGCTCTTGTGACCCAGGGTCACAAGGAATCCACTGCAAGAGGAAGAAGTAGCTCAGGAACCTCCTACCACTTATCACTGGATTTATCATCCAATTCTCTTGTAATCTCTTCCTTAAACCAGTAAAGTATTTGGATTATCAGAGCTTTTACTACCCGACTTGGCTCTTTGGGGAGTAAAATGTATCCTCATATTAATCAGAACTGGACTGATTCATGTTACACAAACCATAGATTTCTACAAGAAAATTAAAGGGCAATGTTACTTCACTTCTGCTAAATGTTTTCTTATGATTCAGGGGGAAAATTGGGACACTATATTGTGTCCAATGATGCTGCCAAGAATATATCACCCAAGACACGACAAATGAATGTATAAATAGGAACTGCTCAGAAGGGGTTAGTCATAAATCACCGAATGAGCTGGAACCCAGTATTCTTCTTTGTGTGTTGTTTGAAATGTGGAGCATTATCAGTGGCTGCTAGAAAAACAATTTGATTTTTGTACAGTTGCGTTAGAAGGTTGTGGGGAACAGGGAAGTATAATTTCCCTAGGCGAAACCAGAGGGAAGAAATAAAATTTTCTGGTGACTCAAGGACTAAAATAAAACTACTCTGAAAAATGGGATGCAGTTTGTTAAAGAACAGCAATGGTGTGGTTTCTGGAATCATGCATTTTCATCTTGAATATTTAGAAATCTGGGATATGGTGATGGGCTGGCTTTGAGTCAAAAATGCACTATAATAAATTGGGCTGAGGCAGCAGCAGAAACATTATGGAACTTTTCTTTTAGGGTTCTGTAATTCCTCCATATACTTTTACAAAACCTTTCTCTGTGTTTTAAAAGGAACTGTTTTCCGCTGTCCAGAGTTATGTCTGAGCAAGTATATTTTTTTCTTAGGATAAAGAAATGTTTGTTTTAAATATATTAAAGTTGAAACTGCACAACTGTGGCAAAAGATTCTAAGATCATCATGGAAGGAAGCACTAAGCATTTCAACAGAACTGTGGGTGTTGGTAATAATAGGTTTTTTACATATGTGCTACTTTATTCAATAGTTGTCATTTTCATTAAAAGTGGTCATTTCCTTTTGCTTGTGAGCACAGTGGTTGAGGCTGTCATTTTTATTTTCAGAAAACCTAGCAAGAGGTTGGGACTGGAGGACATTCAATCATCAGGCCCATCCTTGCTCCTTAGGAGCCAGCTAGAAGTTAGCTAAAAGGGTTTAGGACATTAAATATGATTTCGACCTTTCCACCTTGTCAGTGGTCCATTTTTAGTTACTGCTTGCTCTGTAACAAACTATGTTGTCACAATCCTCATTTATGAGCTCACAATTCTGGGAGTGGGGGCTGGAAGTTTGGTCCAGGCTCAGCTGGTAGTTCTGCGTGGGTCTCATCCAGGTTTGGTCCTGTGGTTGCAGTCCACTGGAGGGCTGGTCTGAGACATCTCTGAAGATTAGATAAGGTAACAGAGACAATTGGACTCATGTATCCAATATCCAATAGGCTAAATTCTGAAAACAGAGGGCAGACTGCAATGTGCAATGGATTCTCTCAGATTCTACTTCCATCACATCAGTTGATGTCTTACTGCAACCCATTTTTCAAAGATAGAAAGAATATTCTGAACAAAGTAGATTGGCTTTTTCTCATTATAGGTTTGCTGAAAATAGTATTTATTAGCAATCCTACCTTCTGGGTTCTTGAAGGAAGGAATTGTACAGTATTGTGTGCAGGGTGTGTGGATGGGGGTGTATTTGTTGATCTCTGATAGTCACCTTTTCAGTAATGGCACCACCCCAGTCAGAGGTGTGAACTGCACTTGCAACCCTGATTGGCTGGGGACTTGGGCAAGTTCCTTGGCCTCTGATACTTGTCTCTGCACAGTCTTTTTTTTTTTTTTTTTTTTTTTTTTTTTTTTTGTCTTTGTCCTTCGCACAGTCTTACAGGACTAAGCATAGTGCATACCTTGTAGTTAATTTGAGAATTAAATGAGTGAGCAATGACTGGTACTGGCACTGTGCTTGGGGCACAGAATGAACTAAAAAACTAATAGCTATAGCTGATCAGGATCCTGAACTTCTGCATTTGTTTGTTATTACTTCTGTTAACAACTGACCTAGTGGCTTAAAACAACACACACTTGTTACCTTACTGTCCTGAGGCCATGGGGGGGACTTGGGGTTTCACTCAGCTGAAGTCGGAATGCCTGTGTTAGTGGTTCTCAATCTCTTGAGCTTCTCTAGGTTACATGGGCTCTTTAGCTCTCAGTGGCTAGAGAGTCTCCTCTTTGTCACAGCATCCTGAACTCTGCTTCCTGTGCCATGTATTCCGTCTGGCTCTCATCTCCTGTCATGCATTCCTGTTTATAAAGAACCTTGTAATATTAGCCCCTTTGATAATCCTGGCTAACTGTCTCACTGTAACTTCTTAGTTTAATCACATTTGGGAAGTTCTGTTTTCCATGTAAAATATCATATTCTCAAGCTCTGAAGATCAGCACTGGGCCTCTTTAGAAACCCATTTTTTCTGTTTATCCTGAAACTGTCAATCTGTGGAGAGGGTTCATTCATTATGAAGTACTGGGAAGTTTTTACTTGGCTGTGCCCTTCAAGAAGAGGTTGCGGTAGAACATTTTGTGTTCTACAAATTGTGACAGCATCTCTTTCCTCTGTAAACTGCCAGGACAAGGCCAAAGAGCTTGACTGATGAGACAAAAATGTCTCCTCAGTGCCATCAGAGTGTGCCAGAGAAAACACCACACTCTTACTAAACAAAATTTCTTTTTCTTTAGGCACTCAGCTATATCTTGCATTTGCCTCCAAGTGGAGTCTTGAAGCATGTTCTCACCATCAAACGTGAGTGGCAAAGATCTCTGGGATGACATATTTAAGAGAGGTGTGCTTTCTACATGGCAGCCTCTGTGCTCTGTGGCTGCATTTAGGGGCCTTATTTGAGGGCTCCACATCCTTAGGGAGGGCAGGACAAGCCAGAAATCCTTTGGCCCTACCTGCTTGCGTGACACTGGACCCCATCCTTCTTTAGCTAAGGCATTGAGAACTGTGGCAGTTTCTCACCGTGCCTGGTTCAAGATATTACATAGACACTGGTCTATAGAAAAGCCCTCCACTGTTAACCCTATAGCTTAGTGACAGGGATGGTGCTTGTTCTCCCTCTGATCATATCATTTCTTTTCACCCTTGGACCAAAATCAAAGCCTTTAAATACTGCTCTAGACTAACAGAATTGGTATCAGAGAAAAGTGAAAAAGATTGGTGGATATCGATTCGTCAGGCTTCCTGTCAGAACAGAGCCAGCTCCAGTTTCTGCTAGAAACTGTCTGGTCTAAGGTCCTTGCTAAACCTAGGGTTTAGCTCAAACCTAGGGTTTCAGTGGTTTTCTCATTCAACAGCCGAACAGGGATGTGAGGCAAATGCTGTACTCAGCCCTCACTCAGCCCAGCAACTGGTGTTCAAAGATCTGAGGTGCCGTTGGGAAATGAACGGTGTGCAGTGCTCCCATCCTTCAAAATCCAGCTCAGTGCCACAGGCACAGGGAACCTTTCAGCAAAGCCCTAATTTCTAATCCATCTCTCCCATCTTCCCTCTTCCTGAAAGATGATATTGATCACCTGTATCGCATTTAACACAATCTGCCTGGAATGTTAATGTGTATGTATCCTTCTAGCCCGGGGCTGACAAATAGATTTTCTTTCATGTGGTAAATTAGATTGATTGGTGGCAATGCCTGGTTCACAATATTGAAATAAGGTAGAAGATCATGTACAGCTCAGTGGGGAAGAATGTCATGAACAATTAGTAATATCTGCCATGGGAAAAAGATAAAAATCTTAAAAACATATGCTATGTGTTTAGCAGTTTTAGAATAAAAAATTTAGCACAGAAGAAAAATGTCTTTCTCTTTTTTGCATCCTGCATAATACTGAGCAGAGCATTTTGTATGTAATTCTTCAGTTAGACTGAAATCAAATTCTTATAAATACTGAATCTATGTCTCCTAAAACTAGAAACTTCCAACTATAAACTTAGCCACTTACTTCTCATCTTGTTGTATATTAAAGATTTTGTTCCATGTAACAGGAACCCAGAAAAAAGCAGGGGTAGCTATTCTGCTTGCAGACAATGTGAACTTTGAACCAAACATCATAAAAAAAACATAAAGAAGGTCACTACATACTTGTTAGGTGAAAAAAGAAGAGGAAGAGATAACAATCATAAATACATAGGCACCAAATATGGGAGCACACAATTATGTAAGATAGATACTAATAGACATGAAAAATCAAATAAGCAATAACACAGTTGTAATGGGGGAGCTTAATACCCTATGATCACAAAGAGACAGATCAACTAGTCAAAAAGTCAGCAAAGAAATAACAGAACTGAATCAAATATGTGAACAAATGGACATAATAGACTTTTTACAGAGTGTTCCATCCAACATCAGAACACACCTTCTCAGCTGTATGTGAGATAGTCTCTAAAATAGATCATATACTAGCCTATAGAGCATGCTTAAGTAAATACAAATCATCCCATGCTTAGTATCTGACCATAGTGCAATTAAACTGGATATTAATGGTAAAAGAAACCACAAAAACTCCATAAACACATGGAAATTAAATAGCATCTTCCTGAACAAGCAATGGGTCACAGATGAAATTGATGAAGAGATTAAACAATCAAATGAAAATGCCAATACAAATATCAAAAGCTGTGGGATGCAATGAAAGTAGTCCTTCAGGGAAATTTATAGCAGTGAATTCTCACATCAGGAAAACAGAATGAACACAAATAAACAACCTACTGCTGCACCTGAAGCTTCTAGAAGAAGAGAAAGCCAAATACAAAATTCGTAGAGTAGAGGAAATTATAAAGATCAGAGTAGAAATTAGTGAAATTGAGATAAAATAATAAAAAGAATTAATGGATTGAAGGGTTTATTCTTTGAAAGAATAAACAAAATTGATAACACGTTGTCAAAATATACTAAGAAAAGGAAACAACTCAAATTCATGTAACGAGAAATAAAAACGGTGATATTACTACAGATCCTGTGAAAATTCAGAAGGTCATCAATACATACTTCAAAAATTTTTATGCCCATAGTATGAAAAATAAATATGGACATTTCTAGAAACTTGTATGAAGTTGGTATGAATTACCAAAATGAATGAAGAAGATATAATTTTGAATGACCCAATATCAGTTACTAAAGTTGAAAATACAGTTAAAAACTTACAAACAAAGAAACGCTCAGGTTCTGATAAATTCACTGATGAATTCTACAAGAAATTTAGAGAAGATTTAATGCCAATATTCTTCAAACTCTTTAATGAAAATGAAGGGAGGCAATTCTCCCTAATTCATTCTTGGAGGCAAATATTATTCTGATACCAAAACCAGAGAAAGACCCAATCAAAAAGAACTATAGGCCAACTCCCTAATGAACATAGTAGATACAAAAACTCTCAATAAAATACTAGCAAATAGAATGCAGCAAAGTATCAAGAATATTGTACACTATGACCAAGTGTGATTCATCTCAGGAATGCAGGGATAGTTTAACATATGCAAATCAATTAATGTACTACCAACAGAGCCAAAGACAAAAGTCACATGATCATCTCAATAGATGCAGAAACAGCTTTGGATAAAGTCCAACACTCATTTATGATAAAACCCTACAGAAAATCAGAATAGATCATCTCTACCTCAATCTGATAAAAGCCATCTATGAAAAACCAACAGTCAACATCATACTAAATGGACAAAAACTGAAAGCTTTCACTCTAAAGTCAGGAACAAGACAAAATGTCCACTATCACCACTCCTATTCAATATAATCCTGGAAACATTACTCATAGCAGTTAGACAAGAGAGAAATAAAATGAATAGGGGTAGGAAAGGAAGAAATTAAATTATGATCACTCATAGACAACATGCTACTGTACATGGAAGACCACAAAAACTCCACCAAAAGACATCTAGATTTTTTTTTTCTTTTTGGTACCAGGGATCAAACTCATGACCTTGCACTTGCCAGGTTTGTCTCTGAGCTAAAACCCTGGCCAAGACACCTAGATTTAATAATGAAATTCATTAACATAGCTGCATACAAAGTTAACAGTCAAAAATCATTGACTTGGTAACTTCAGCAAATACTTCTAATATATCAATATGTAATATATTAACAATTGTTGATTATTTACTGTTATTTTGTTTGAAATTCTGCATTATTTCTACCTTTTTTCTGTTTTGCTTTTTAAAAATTAAATCAGTAGCATTCCTATACATAAATAATAAACTCAACTGAGAGAGAAATTAGGGAAACCACACCTTCACAATACCATCCAAAAAAACCTGAAATATTTAGGAGTTAATCTCACAAAGTAAAAGATTTATACACTGAAAATTACAATACTCTAAAAAAGAAACCGAAGAGAATTTCAGAAAATGAAAAGATATCGCTTGCTCATCAACAGGAAAAACCAACATTGTGAAGATGGCCATACTCCCAAAACTGTTACACAGATTTAATGTAATCTGAATCAAAATACCATTAGTATACCTCACAATCCAGAGAAACATTCCTAAAATTCAACTGGAAGCAGAAGAGACCTAGAATAGCAAAGGTAATCCTGTGTAACAAAGGTAAGGCAGGAGGCATCAAACTCCCTGACTTGAAATAATACTACAAAGTTACCATGATAAATCAGCATGGTACTGCAAAAACAACAATAAAAACAACAACAACCAGCCTTGAGGATCAGTGGAACAGAATAGATGATGCAGGCACAACTGAAAACACACTCAGCCACATTATCATTGAAAAAGGGACCAAACATGTTTGCTGGAGTAAAAATAGCTTTCCACATGCTGAAGTCTTAAACTAGACCCATGGCTATCACCATGCACTAAACTAAAATCAAAATCTATCAAAGATTTAAATATTAAAACAGAAACTCTAAATGTTTTGGAAGACAAAGTAGATAGAAATCTTGAAGACATAGGGCTAGGCAGACAATTCATGAATGAAAACCAAACTTCACAGGAAATATTTCAAAGAATCAGTAAAAGGGATCATATCTTGTTAAAAAGTTTTTTCACAATGAAAGAAGTTACCAACAGAGTGAAAGAAAATCTGTGACTTGGGAAAAAACTTTAGCCAACTGTCTATCAGACAAAGAACTATCTAGGACATATAAAGAATTTTTTTTTAAAAACGAGGCCCTCGAGATTCAAAGACTTCATGCAAAAATGGGCAGGTGAGAGATACACACTTCTCAGATGAAGAAATACAAATTGGAAAAAATATATGAAAAGTTGTTCAACATCATTGGTATTTGAGAAGTGTAGATGAAAACAACACTGAGATTGCATCTCATTTCATGAAGAATGGCTGTCATCAAAAAATCAACCAGCAACAAATGCTGGTGGGACTGAAGGGAAAATGTAACCATTCTCTAGTCTTGGTGGGAGCACAGATTGGTGCAACCACTGTGGAGATCAGTGTGGCGATTCCTCAAAAAAACTTGCATTGATGGTTCCATTTGATGTAGCTATTCCCCTTCTGAGTATTTTCCTGAAAGAAATGAAAACATTATACCACAGCAATCTATGTGCACCTATTTTTATAGTAGCACAATGTGTAATAGCTAAATTTTGGAAACAACCCAAATGCCCATCGACTGAGAAACAAATAAAAAGATGTGGTATTTTTATACAATGGAATACTACTCAGCTACAAAGAAGGATAAACTCGAGACTTTTTTAGGTAGATGGATGCAACTTGTATTTGAAATAATCATACTCACAAGTGTAAACTTTGTATTGTT